GTAAATAAAAGAGAAAGAACATATCTTAAAGGAACAAAACAAAAAAATTCATAAATAAAAAGTAGATCCCCTTTTTTCATTATTCTCAAATGATCTATTCAAGATATTTGAATGTACATAAGACTAGTATATCAGCATTAGGCTAATGATTAGAAGCAATTAGAAATAAAAATAAGAAAGTGAACTATACTAATTACCCAACATTAATTGGTAGAATTGATCATTTTCATAATTTGATAATTTAAGGAATTCATATCTTTATTGTTGTAGAGTGAAAGTAAGTTCAAAAGAATAAAAATGCTTGGAATAAATAATACAATGTGGTTTTTCTTTATTAACCAAACAGAATAGAGAAAGCTTATGTTGAAAAGCAATCTAAAGAATAGAAAAATTACAGCAAAACATATTGAATGAAAATTACTGAGAAATCAATAATAAAATATTTGAATTGTATGAATTTTAAAATATACACATCTTCAAATTAGAAATAAATTGCATACTATATTGTTATATTGAAATTATAATATGATACTTTTTTGATCAATATAGTAATTCTTAAGGTAGATATTTTTTGGTTCAGTTCTTTATACTAAAGATAATAATTGAATATAGTAGAGTATTTTAAATAAAATTAAGTATTTCCTGCATTTATTTCTCATCAATTATTAAATAAATATATTCAATGAAATTAACTTAAAGTGTAAATGATAGAATCAACTCATAGAAGATTGATAGATATATTATATCTATCGGAATTGGTATCTCTACTAAATACTATAATAATAATTAAATTAAAGTATTTAAGTTCGTGGTCTTCCTAAAAATAATATTGTTTTTCACAAGCATACAAAATCAAAGATTAATATTATCCATATGATCAATAAATCTGCTTTTTTATTTGCAAAATAAGTTTATCTATTAGTTAACTAAGTAGTTATTTATATAAAATTTCCTAATAGAATATCTTGAAAGAACGAATTTACATATATCATTTGAAAAACTGTATGCTTGGCTTTATTAGAGAAAATATGAAAGTCCACGTTGTAATATTAATAACTAAAATAATTATTTTTTACATTACAACTAAAATATAATTAGCCAAAATAGAAAAGGAAATAAAATCGAAGATAATCATTTGACCAAAGATAACTCTTTCATTATAAATTTATGAAAATTCTTTCCGTATCTTAGTGTTTCCCCTATTTAATTCTGAAAAATTTATTCGAGCAAAAATTATTATACATTAACCAGGACTTCTACTAATTAATTTAATTAAAACAGATGTTTCTCTTAATTCTCCATAATATTATTTAATTAAATAAGAAATACTATTCCTCATCTCTTCTACCATCTTTCTACTCAATTCTTAAACTCTTAATGATATACCTTATGATCAAAATTGACATTTTCCTTTTCTATATTTCTCATTTCTAAAATATCAGTATTTGAATTATAAATTAAATCCTCTATTCTCTCAAAACAATTTCTCATATGAGTTTACACCAAAAAATGTCTCTAGTTTCTGCAAAAAGAAAAATCACATCATCATTAGATTAATAAAAGAAATGAGAAAATTCTAATCATTTAATTTCCAAATAACTCTCTAATACTTTAAATATTATGCTATCATAATAACCTAAGATAGTGGATAAATTGACTCTTACTATGATGAGATTAGATAAATATAGAATTTTTATTCGAAAAGAGAGTAAATAAATTTAAATTACAATGTGATAGTTGAAAAATAATTAATTTAAATAATGTTATGAAAAATAAATTAATCTTTCTTATTGGTTTCTCTTGTAAAAAACTGAGCATATAGCATTACAAAATTCAAATGTGGAGAATTGATGTAAAGAAGGAGATTGCATTAAATAGCTAAGTCTTTCATGTTCATGGGATAGTAAAAAGAAAGTTTTTTAAATTTAAACTAACCTTGAAAATCAGCAATAATCAATGCAGCATATTGTGATATTTTTTTAGAATATGATTGTCTAAATAAAAGCCCTGTATAAGCTATGGAACGGTTGCTTGGATCGAAAGAAATATAACTTTTACACAGGATGTACAGCTTTTTCTAAACAATAGATATACATGGTGCAGAGATAGTTGATTGTAGTAAATATAAGAAATTATAATCTTGCATTAAAAAGGCATTCAGGAAATTATTGTTCACTTTTTCATCTTTGTAAAACTATTGAGTCTTAATATAACAAATCTACAAGTTTCATTAGAAAAGCGACGGAAAGGTAATTAAAATCTTCAATATTTTTAATTGCACAGTTAATGTAAAAAGAGATTCATGTGTGACTATTGTAGGTATTTGCAATGTATACTTAGACGAATTTTACAAACAAGATTGGTGTCTGGAGATTTTTTTGGGATGAAGTTAATTATTTTGATATTACTTCTACAAATTGTAATGCTGTTACAGGTTAAAAAGATTTAACTATTGCAAAATGATAAGCTTACAGTACTGTTTGTATAAATAAATTTCTCAGAGATTGTAATTAAAATAAGCCCTCATGCTTAAAGTTACACTTATGATGGTGAAGGTGCTTGTACATTATACATCACAAAGATCAAAATTTTTGCGGCTGGAAATCCATGTTTAGATATTGCTTCATCAAATTTTAATTCTCTTACTTAATAATTCCATTTTCTTGATATCAAGAATATAATAGTTTTGTAATGTTAAAGGAGAGAAACTGGGTTTCTTATATATAATCTTAATGTTTTGAATATTCAAACCAAATATTAGGATGTTATACAGTTCAAAAAATGAATATTGTTTTCTGAATTATCTTTAGGCGTTTTTTATTTTTCCTCTATTAAGTACATCTAACAGTTCAGAACCTGTTTTTTTTAGCGTAAGCTAGTGAAGATATATTTCAAGAACTGATATCAAGTATAAAATTGTAAAGCTATTAAGTTTATTTGCTTTGCCTTCAGCATAACTGGATACTAAACCAATTCATATACTAAATCTCTATGAACAACTGATTTGTTATGAATTCTTGTTATAACTTATAATAAGTACTCATTAAGAAAATTTATGGTTTAATATGGTGTTCTATTGATTTTGAAATTAGAAACTATAATTTCTTTAGAGTTTAAATTATAGGCATATTTTATATGTGAAATATTATAGAGTATGAGCAAACTATATACAAAAAAAATATCAATATTGTGTAATTAGATCATCTTATTTGAGTTATTCCTTTAAGTGGAATAGAATTTATTTTTAATACAGCGTTAGGCTTTAAGACTTAATTATAAAATGAATCAAAATCTAATTTTTAGGCACACTTGACATTTCCTCATTTGTAAAAGTTCTTTATAATTTTCTATTATATGGTATGCTTGTTAGGTATAATTCTTTATTTTATGATTTGATTTGGCGAGGTGTAAAGGACATTAACTGCTCAATAAATTTTTTTATAAAAAAAAAATAATAATGTAATATAATTAAATAATTTTAGAACTGATAATTCTGTATAAATAAAAATAGAAAAAATGATAAGATTGATGAAAGATAGTAATTATTATAAAGAAAAATATAAATATAAAATAAGTTAAAATGAAATCAAATTAAAGGTTCTTTATTAACTTTTACTTCATTAATTACAGAGATTATATCAATAATTTTAATAGGTTTTGAGAGAAATGCATCAAATCCTTTTATTAGCATTTCTCCTTCTCTTTAAGATCATCATATCCAGTTAAAGCAATTATGAAATATTTTTCTATAAATTTATCCTTTTCCTAAAATCACATAAAAATAAAATAAATATGACCCCATAATTCTAATTTATTCAGTAAGTTCATATCCATCATGATAGGGATAGTCAAATCCATGAATAAAATCATATTTTTGCATTATTAATCTAAATGCAAATACATTAACAGGGGAATCATCAACAACTAAAATTGTACTTGGTTTTGGAAATAGAATTCTCATCATCTCATCAATTGATTCAGGAAATTATAATGGTTTACCTTAATTATTATGCATAGCTGGAGATCCTTAATTATCAAACTAGTAAAATTATGAATTCAAATTATTATGATTTATTTCTATTTGTCTTTGATTTCTTTATATTTATGTAGCATAAGTAATATCATTATGAAATTCTAAAAATTATTCTATATTTCTTATTTTAGAATTGTCAGAATCCTCTAAATTCAAAGATTTTTTATAAGTAGAATTATTTCTTTATAATGACTATTTTTTGAGATTTATAGTTCTATGTTACTAAGCTTTATACTATGTTTTCTGATGAGAAATTTTATATTAAGTTAAAATAGTTTTGCTATTCAATTTTTTGATTAATCCTTTTTATATATGATTATAATTGTTATTATTGAAATTGGTGGAATGAATTGTTTAATTGAATATAGTATACTAGGAACTTAATATATTAGAATTATGATTATCACATAGACTTTATTTAGTATCTTACTTAAATATGTTAGTCATTTCTTATTGATATTATTTAGATATTGTATTTCCATAAT